TCATGTGCCCAAGCTCATGATATTCCCGTAAAAACTTTGAATATTCGTTTTTCAAAACCTTATCTTTTGCTAATTTTCGTTCTAGTGAGTAAAACCTACGAAGGGCCATGTTATATGAATTTCCTAGCGTATCTTTCCGCTCATTGAATGGCAAACGTACGATGTATCTCCCATCCGAACCACGAATTGTCGACTCATTATATAATTTTTCGCAAGCTAATTCTTCAGTTGATAAATGTTTTTTATTTGGTATTTCTTCAACCTCCCAAAATTTCATTAATTGTTTATCTAACGAAGTAATTACATGACATGACTTAGGTGCCGCGAAATTTTCGGATTTGCCTACCTCGCCAGCGACAATCCAGCCGAGCAAGGTTTTTTGTAGTACTGCATCCGTGTTATTAGATAATTTGATTTGACCATTGCTAAGTAGCTTGTAAAACAGTGTGGTTCCGATTAACGCGTCGATTTCTGCCGGTTTGTTGAATTCCGGGTCTGCTAATTGTATGTTATGAGGGATTGTAAGAGCCCCCTTATTTACCTGCCGCGACGGAAGTATTCCTGTAATTGTGGGAAGCGCTACAAATTCTACCTGCGACTCAAAATTATTTATCCGTGACTTTATTGTCGTCTTTACTTTATATTCTGCCCGTGTAGTTAATTGACCAAGTCCTGCGAACGGCAAATTAATTTTTTGTTTAATCAATTTAAGATTATCTGCTAATTTTTCTGAAATGAAATTGCATTGGGAGCACCCGTCTAATAATACACGACATTCGTGTGCCCTGTTGTACTGATCTAAAATGTAAACTCGTGCTGTCCCTAACAAAACTTCCGAGTCATATGTAATCGCGTAACTCTTTTTTACTGATTCTGTAGAAACAGATGAAGTTGATTGCTGATTACTAGGAGATTGTTGCTCTACGTTATTACGCTGTGTATTATGAACCTCAAAATGTAATAAAGTATTATGTCGTCGACTGCATTTTTTGCAACCAGGCGCAAGACATTTACTTGTATTATGATTATTTCTTAGACAATTTATGCATAACCTTTTATTTCTGGCCGCGTTACTTCGTTCGTGCGGACTTAGCTGCATGAACTCTTGGCATGCATAGATACCATGATCTCCCTGACAAAATGCGCACTCATATCGCGGTTGTGCGCTTACATACGCTTGTCCGCGAGCTCCTAATGGTTT